CTGGATGAGCTTTAAGGTCCATTCCATGACTCCATGACTTGGCTGCATCCCAGCATGGATCTGGATGCACTCTGCTCCCCTCCTGTCCAACACATTTCTCAGCCCCTGAGGGGTTTAGGAGTGTGTTGGGGGTGTTGATCTGCTCCTGGGGAGGAGATTTGTGAGGATTTTCCTGGAAATGGGGCTGTGTTTGCACAAAGAGCTGCCTCTGTGCAGTGGAATGAGAGAAACCCCACGAGCAACTGCCCCTGGAAGGTGGCATTTCCAACCTATTGGGTTGGATGGGGCTGGACTCCAGAGGGGAGTGGATTTGCAGAGCCAGGAGGTTCTCCTGAGCTGATTCACAAATCTGGGAATGAAGACATCCCCCTCCAAGCAGAGCTTTTCTGCTGAGCCTGTGTCAGTGCTGACACAGACCATTTAAGCCAACCCTGCTCCTCGTTGTCATCAATCCAACACATGTGGAGATAAAATCCCAGGAGCTGGGCCAAAAACAAGCCCAGATATCCCTGGTTGCTGTACCAGCAGTGCTATAAACTTCCAAACAAGGATTTGCTGAGCTTAATCCTGGTAGCAAAACCTCCTGGAGGTTCAGAGCACTGGGAGGATCAGCACTGGCTCCCAGCCTTGGCTGTGCCCCAAGGATTTAATAAGGAGAATTTATCATCAACCTTGTATTGTTGTGGGGTTTTTAGTGGGGAAGAGGGTGAAATGTGAAGTGGTTTAATTATCACTGGAAGTCTGACATGCAAATCAGCTGCAAAAATAATTGTCAGCTCTAATCAGGGCGTTGATTAAGAATCCTAAAGCTCCTGGAGGTGGAATTAGAAATTCATGGGTTGTCCTTTTGTGGTACAAGTGGGGATGTGTTGAAGAAATCCAAGTGGATTGTGGGGTATTTTTACACTCCCCATGGTTTTGGGTGAGAATTTGGCCAAGAAAAGACCTTGGCAGAGCAAAGAGGGAAAAATCCCAGGTAATTAATACAGAGGGGAAGGAATAATCCTGTGTCTTAGTTTAACAAGATTACAATTCAGGAATTAAGAAACTTCAGGTGGAAGTGTGGAAAAGGAAAAGAGACAGCTTTTTATTAACAAAATCTGAATAAACAACAAATGGTGCAACCAAAAAATTTCAGAAGAAACAAAACAAAGTCCCAATTCCCCAGGTGGGGGGAGAAACCCGGGGCTGGGGGGGGAGGCAGGACTGTCCTGGCAGTTCAACAGCTGCTCTCAGCCCCCTGTGCCTGCAGCCAGCAATGAAGGAATCCCTGTGCTGGTTTAAAGGTAAACCATCAGGGGAAATGAACTCAACTCAAAGGAGACATTATACATCAGAATAACAATTTAATAAAATAATACAATAAATACGATTATACAGACAAACAGTTGGTTTTAAC